CTATCTGCATTATGCCATGTAAGATTTCGTTACAACTAAAAAAAGTGTAAATTAAACAAGTTATTTGTTTGACGATATACTCACCACTCTATCAAGATCCTTGGATCCATAGCGCATCCACTGCATGACGTGCACACCACACTCAGTACTATTCCTTTGCCGTTGAACTCGTAGCTCATCAAAATTGAAATCTCCAAAATTTGGTACTCCTACATTGCTCATGCGCTCCGGTTTGAAAATATCATCCAAATTGGACAACTACACACAAATAATGAATATTTTAAGTTTCTAGCATAATACGTGACGCTTAACAGTCAGAAAATTATAGAAAACACTTACCAATTTCTTGCATAGTGCTGATTTACGCCTACGATTCGCCTCACTAGTTGAAGGTAGACTGTCAAGCAAAAATGCAGTTTTTTGCTGGACATTGACGAGATACAGAAACCAATGACGTGCTTCATCGTCAAGAACTGGCATAAATATCTAGCAACGAAACACTCACTATATGTTATAAACAGCGAATACAAACAAATGCACTTTCGAAATTTAATGATAGAGGGACATTGACTAGACTAACCTTCTGGCATGCACTGACATTCGGCATAAAGACCACGCCATCATTCATCAACTTGTTACGAATTTGTCTGGTCTTCATGTTAGCGCGTACCATTTTCTGCAGCATGTTTTAGTTGAGATGAATTGACATGGTACAATATAAATAACTAGGTTATGACAAATAATTTGACATTACGGCTCTTACCGAAAACATATTTGGCAAATACCACACATTTGGCTCTTTCACATCATGTTTTTCAGACATTGTTAGTGCCCTTGCACACAAATCCACTACCTACCATCCAACAATCAAACACAAAATCATCATAAATCGTAACATAAATAGTGCACAATTCATACGAAAGTCGTAGTAGTATAGTACTTACTGATGAGCAAACCCAGCTATTCTCGCTAATGACCGAACTCAAATAATGTTGTTGCACGTTTTCAGAAAAAAAAGTCCACAACGGTCAAACTGCAAAATAACAGAAATGTCAATTGTGATTTGCAACGTACAGGTCGACCTGTTCACAGTCACGGTCGACCTTATTGGAAAAGCGGTCGACCACACGTACTAAAAAACGTCTTACTTGTCCCAATTCTTGTCCCCAGCCTTCTCTTTAGTAACAACATAATACAAGTCTTCAACTGGATTTTGAAGATTTTTGGTGAATCCTTCTAAACCCTCCACTTTCATGGCCTACAAATCATAGTTAAAATTAAAGTAACATATGAACACAAACACACATTATAGATGAATATGTAACGTAAACTTACCCCGTGCTTTTCGAAAGGACTCTTAGATTCTTCTTCATCGCTATCATCACTAAATAATCCTTTTCTTACAAATTGATCCTTCTGTGGAGTGGTGTAGGAGTCACTTTCATATCGAGGTCTCTTGTACTTAGGAGAGGAACCCTTGCTACCATTCGTTGTTTCACTCTGTCAAACATATAAACAAAAAAAATTAGCACTAATGATAGTAATACTAATATCTTCAATCACATATGAATATACTTGGATACCTTTAAAATGTGCTCTTTCAATAAATCGTCTATGCTCTGGTAGCAATTTTCAGAGTCATCATGGTCTTCTTCCTCTTTACCAAAGTCAAATTTCTTTCCTTTACCATTTCTTCCGCCATTCTCCATTCGTTCTGCACTTATATCTTTGATAGCACCTTCTAGCCTCTCAAACCCGTCATGCATCATCCCAGTCATATCTGTCAGTCTAACTGACAATTGCTCCGCTCTATCACACATGGACTTCTGAAAGTCATTGACTTGTGTTTGACACACCACCAGCTTCTCTTGTGTGGCTTTCAACAATTTCATGATTTCACCCAAATCTTGATGCAGTTTCTCATCATGCGTCATTGTCTAAACAATTTCAAGAAAAATTTAAATCATAATTCAAATTCAAATTTCTACAATTGACCAAAAAACAAATACGTGGTCGACCTGACATAGTATTAGGTCGACCTGGAAGACAAATAGTGACTACCACAACCATTAAGGTCGACCTCTGTTATTCCTAGGTCGACCTATCCAGCAGGAAAATAACAATTAACAACAAAAAGTAAGTTCTAAATTAAACCGAAAAAAGGATAGGTCGACCAGATATCTGGCGCGGTCGACCTTTTCAAGCACAACATAGTCATACAATCAAAGCCAAAGTCGACATTCAGGTTGAATAACCAAAAAAACAGGAACGGTCGACCTTGAAACCCATTAGGTCGACCAATTGGGTTACCTCGCAAGTACAGAAATCCAAGTGTTGTGGCCTAAATTCAAATACGCAGAATTGTCTCGTCAGGTCGACCTGGTTGACGTCACGGTCGACCGAATGGAATTCTGCACCCAACAATATATCAAATTAGCCGGTAGAAATCACGCATTAGAAAAGAAGACGACGAATGGTACATTAGGTCGACCTCACCTTAGACCTGGTCGACGACTTCCAACGCGTACAACAGCAACCGCGAACAATCTTCTTCACAAAGGCTCTTAATCGGAAAAAAACCTAATTCAGACTTGGAGGCGTTGAAGGGGACTAATATTCGTATTTATAGAGATTTGAGACGTCAATGGGTCGACCCAATTCGTTTCCTTGTCCAATTGTGGAACCTTTCTGGTGTTGGAATCCATATCCAATACGGATACGGTGTGAAGGCGGTCGACCTCTTCCTAATGCGGTCGACCTGTTAGGTGCACAAGGGTCGGCCTATGAGATATTTGGGTCGACCTTTCATTCTGTTAGACCACCAAAGCGGTCGACCGTATTATGTAAGAGGTCGACCGCGTCTTGGAACCCCACATACATGAATTAGTCGATTCGGTCGACCGCCTTCAGCAATAGGTCGACCGAAAAGTCCATGTCACGGTGACATGCATGTCACCGTAGCAAAATCCAATAATTTATGTGTAGCTAACTGTAATCGCTAAAACCAAATTTTCTTATACTGATACTTGCCATCTACGGTAAGAAGTTAATTAATTGCCAAACCCCTCTGTTAATTCTTCTTCGGTATGGTGTAAAAATGTTAATATTTCAAGGTTACGTTGATCAACCAACACATATGTGGTACATTCGTGCGACGAAAATAAGAATATAAAAATTATATTTACTTTTACATATATACAAGGAAAACCTTTAGAGGACAATTAAAAAAAAAATTTGACGCTAAAAAATAGTGTCTAGAATTAATTAAATTTAATATGAAATCATAATATTTTTAGAGGCAAATAATAATCTTTATAAAGGCATAAAATATATTAGTCTTGTGTAACTTATTTTAGGAGGCAAATAATTTATGTGTCGCTAACTTTAATCGCTAAAACCAAATTTTCTTATACTGATACTTGCCATCTACGGTAAGAAGTTAATTAATTGCCAAACCCCTCTGTTAATTCTTCTTCGGTAAGGTGTAAAAATGTTAATATTTCAAGGTTACGTTGATCAACCAACACATATGTGGTAGATTCGAACCATGAGAAAAGCAGAGATCATAACCAATAACACTAAGTACATTTTTTGTATCTTTTTAAATTAAAAACATATAATAGCATAGAGGAAAAAACTCTTCCCCATTTCAAATTTCCTGCTCCATGAGCGTTTGTAGGAATGATAGAATAGTTAGTGTCGATTTTTTTTCTTTTTCGTCCGTGGAATGGACCAACTTACCCTACACATGCGGATTTAAATGGGTCAAGGAGTGTCAATTTTTTTCTTTAAGCCCTTTTATTTCTCCGTGGTGGTAAAATATATATGAAAAGGCAAAAACAATACTCCTTTTTATTTCTAAAAAGAACAAATTTTAACAATAAACTAATGCATAGATTCTAATAGTCTAACCGCTAACCATAAAATAAAAGAGTTGAATGGACCTGACCTACACGGGATTTGGCCATCAAGTAAAACAAATGAACATCATGGGTTTGTCATTCTAAAACAAGCTATTTTCTATAGCATAATACATATTATGCTATTATTTTATATCTTAGTGGCTAAAATATAATGTATTTTAAAGTTATTCAATGGTTCAACCTCGACCAACCCAATTAGTCCAATTTTTATCATTTCAAATATATATTATGTAATTATTTGATATCATTATGATTAAATTATAGTGTATTTTATTGGGAATTGTTTGGTATTTGTTAATAAAAAACTAAACAAAAAGATCTATTTGGTTATTTTTAACAATAAAACGATCCTAAATATTTTAAGTTTCCTTTCGAATTTCTATAGTTTTATTCCCGAATCAGTGATGTGCAAATGGCGAATTGCAGTCATCTCTTTTCTTTCACTATTTTTTATTTTCAAATAGAAAGTTTAATAGTAAAGAATAATATAGAGTTTGACATGGGTCAGTCAAACAGGGTGAATTTCAAGTTTTGGCTCGTTTTAATCAAGTCTAATTTATAATCACATGATTCTCTGATACCCGATAAAAATCTCTATCCAAAGTAGTTTGGCAGGTGAGTCTGTGTTTACCACCATTTTCTAAGGATACAGGAATGACGGTTCATATCCCAAATCGTGTTGTTCATTCTTGATTTCTTTATATTTTAACATGGCCTAGCAAAAACCAAAAAGCACAATGACGACAAGATGAAAGTTTTATAAAAACAAATTAATCGCCCAACGGGCCAAGTAAAAGCTAGCAACGATTGTGAGATGCTCATTTCCCCAAAACCAGCAAGATAGGAGTTTTTTTATTCGATTTTCTGGAATTCGGTTTCTATCAAACTTACTACACCTCATCATATTACCAGAAACAATATTGTTTCACAAGGTAACAGGCTCTTGATTTTGGTTAATAAGGCTGATTTTTGATTCGTTGCATCATTCATGTCTCTTTCCTACTAAAATTCACTATTTTTATCACGTGGTTTCCAAAAAAAAACTATACAACAATAAGCTATACACCCCGTTACATTATCAAATTTCATACATCACCTTCATCCGACCAACTAGCCGGGGCGCACGCTAGTAGTGTACGTATTCAATAATAAGTTTTTTTTTCTCCGTTTATGAGCAGGTAACATTAAATTTTTCCAGAGAAGATGTCGAGCACCACCACCACCATCGATAACGACGGGCGTCCCTCACGAACTGGTACGTTACTGATGCGATGATTGTCAAAAAGAAATTTTATTTAATCAGCCTAATCATTTGAATTTACTTAAACGGTTACCCTAAAAAAAATAATGTTTGGCGACCAACATTCTGTGAAGGATATATGTCGTTGCTAAAAGAATACCACCTCGAGAAGCGAATCAGGCTGCCTATTTTGTGGCACAACAGGCCCTTCGTTATCCTGGAATTCATAGTGTCCTTCACAATTTTTCTTTCCTTGTCTGTTAGTATGTCTTTTGAGTCAGCATAGGTTACAAGCAGTATGTAAAACTCGGTGCTCTTATCTGTTTCACCAGCAAAAGTGACGCTTGATAAAAAAAATACTTCTGCGACGAATTCGTTCTTCGTTGCCAATAGTCGCAATATCCAGCGAAATGTTTTTTTTTTTTTTTGGATTTGGAAAGGATTTGGCGACGAAAGTGGGGCTTTAGCGACGAGTGTCTCCGTTGCAGAAAAGCTCCAGTGCTAGAGTGGTTATCAATGAACTGATTCCAAATTAATCAATGCAGGTACGTGGGTGACAACCTCTGCCCACATAATAACGACTGTGATCGGGTCGGGAGTGCTCTTGCTGGCCTGGTCCATCGCCCAGCTCGGTTGGATGGTTGGACCGGCCACCTTGATCGGGTTCTCCCTGATCACGCTGTTCACCTCTTTCCTGCTGACGGACGCCTACCGTCATCCGGATGGCCGACGGAACTACACCTATCTGGACGCCGTGCGGGCCCATTTGGGAGGGCGCAGGGTCCAGCTCTGCGGGCTAGCCCAATACCCCAAGTTCAAATCACATCGACCCTATCACTTAAATATTATTTGTACCCATATGCAGAATATTATAGGAGGTTGAATAATCATTTTCCATATTTTAAGGGTGTTCCGCTATCATTAATTTTTTTTATCCATACACAAACTACTATCAAAGGTTGGATAATCGATTTTCGAAATTTTAGAGATGTCCCGGAACACCCTAAACCTCCATGTATCCGCCCCTGGCTGTAGGTGGTTAATTATCGGTTATATATGTATGAAGTTTAATTAATTAATTAATCGCACATATAATAATTAATTAATGAGTTAAATTGAACAGACGGAGGTGGGACAAGGGCGGCGGCGACGGAGTCAGACGCACAGAAAAATGTGGAAATTTTTCATAGCAATCGGCGATATTGCCTTTGCTTTTGCCTACTCCACTGTCCTCGTCGAGATCCAAGTGCGTAACTAATTAATTATTCCCCTTTCTTATGCAAAGAATTCGTTAATTAATTAACGGAATAAAACTTTGTTATTTATAGGCATTAATTGATTCCAGCTAGAGTAATATAATAATAACAACTTATCATGACTGCAACATACTTACGATTTTATTTGATCCGTTTTGTCTCTCGTTTTCATGGCTAGCTTTTACTTAAATTAAATTAACAGATAGATAGCTGGCCGCTGAATTAATGGCTACGTACCAACTTTCCCCTCGATTTTAAGACATGCATGCATGCGTTGGTGGGCCAGAAAACCATAAACCAATTTAAGGGCTGGTTTGGAACTTTCGATTTGAGATATTGTATTCTCACTATACATGTATCCTGAGAATACAACATTTTTTGACTTGATATAATAATATAATGCATGTATTCATAATTCATGTTGTATTCCTAATACATAGAAAATGGTGTATTCATAATCTTACATTTTTTTTGTGAGATTTTAGGTACCGTAGTTCATTTAAACTATAATCCATGCATTCTTGTATTGGTTCCAAACAATGAATTTTCAAAACCACACATTATTAGTATACACATAATCTTTAATACACATCCTCGTAATACATCATTTTCAAAAATCAAATGTTCCAAACGACCCCTAAGAATGTAACGAAAAACAAAGCTAATGGGCCGGGCCCGCCTTTGTGACCCTAAAATCGATTCCGCCGGAGGATAAATCGATGAAGAGGGCAACCTTCGTCGGCGTCGGAGTTACAACCGTCTTCTACCTGTTGTGCGGCTGTGTCGGATACGCCTCGTTTGGGGATTCCACGCCGAGAAATTTACTCTCCGGATCCGGCTTCGGCCACCGCCCGGTGTGGCTAGTCAACGCCGCCAACGTTTGCGTAGCTGTCCACCTCGTCGGCGCCTACCAAGTAGGACAATCGTAACCTTCCATTTATTTAATCAATTAATAGTTATTTTTGCCATTGTACCATAATTTACGTACGTGGATGCATGCATGCAGGTGTTCTCGCAGCCGATTTTCAAATTCGTGGAGGCCAGCTGTCAGCAAAGATGGCCAGAGCACGCGTTCCTCACAGCGGACCACCCGATCACGTTCACGATCCCGCTCCTGCAGGATGGCCCGACGACCACGATCTGCCACGTCAACTGGTTCAGGCTGATCTGGAGGTTAGCCTACGTGGGTGACGACGGTGTTGGTAATCGCCTTCCCGTTCATCAACGTGTTTCTGAGCCTCATCGGTGTCATAAACCAGTTAGTTATAATAATTCGAGTTGTTGTAAGATGTTCAATCGTGGATTATGTACCGTTTACTAATAATCGGGACAACCTCGTTCTGGCCGTTGACGGTCTAGTTCCCGATCGAGATGTACATCGCGCGGGCCCAGGTTTCGAGTTTCTGCTTATGGACCAACAAGCTTTAGATCAAGAGCTAGTTTGAAGGAATCACCGGTGCATAAATATTATAACACACGTGTTATATAACTCAATTAGACTAAATCATCTATACAATTTTATTTTACAACAAATCATCTATACATTATAAATAACATTTTATATGAATATAAAATGGGGACACGTCGGTCTTGTCCTCCCCATGGAAACAACTCAATCTTCTCATAACTCTACATAACATATACATATTTTTAATTTATTACCCTTATAATAGTAATAAGTATGTAAAAATAAAATGCTCAATAAGTTTGTTAAAATAAAATGCTAGAAACAAATCGTTAAAAAAAATCCAACCATTCTCAACGAATAAATAAAAACGAGCGATTGTAAAACAAATAAAAAAATTAATAAGGTGAAAGACACCTTTAACCTTCCGTGAGTTAAGGTGGGGCTCCAATTTTTGTTTTAACCCGCTCATTATGCTGAATCCCTTTATATTAATGTGCAATCCACAATGACCCCAACCAGGTTAGCGTCCTGGGCTAGGCCGCAGAGTTGGACCCTGTGCCCGCCTAATCTAACCAGGGAGGCCATTTGGGTGGCGGTAGGTGTCCACCAACAGTATGGACGTGAACAGGGTGATGAGAGAGAATGTTGTCAAGCTGCTGGTCGGTCTGGCCACCTAGTCGAGCCGGGCAATCGACCAGGCCAGCAAAAGCACATCGTCGTCGACTGTGTTGGACATCTCTTCACCGATCCTTGAGGTTAAACGTGATCTTATATATAACAAAATTATATAATCTATCTATAAGTATTATAATTAGTTGCAACTAAAAATATATCATATGCAACAAATAGAAAAATTATATCTATTTGACATCTCTTCACCGATCCTTGAAGTTAAACGTGATCTAATATATAACAAAATTATATAATCTATCTATAAGTATTATTAGTTGCAACTAAAAATATATCATATGCAACAAATAGAAAAATTATATCTGTAGATATTAGTGTCTACCATTAATATTATTTCATTTTATTTGAAAAAAGCATTAGCTTTAGAGGAAAATGTATGATAGTTTTTTGTACATAAAAGCAAATAGTTTTTTGTTGTTCAAAATCAGAATTTTAAGAGAAAAAGAAAGATAGAAACCAGAATTTTAAATGAAAATCATCATCATCCCCTAAACTATCTTGGCTCTTGGGTATCTAGATATATCCAAGAACAACTTGGATAGTTTCATCCCACCTCGTATTCGTGCTTTTCTTCCTGAGTTACAAAGCTTATCTTTATCTAAGAATCTGACTCTTTGAAAATATCCAAATATTTAACTTATCAAATTGTTGTAAAATATTTGTTTTGGGTGTACGCAACAATCATCTGTCTCGTAAAACTCCAAGGTGTATTTAGAATTTTACCAAGCTCCACATTTTAGATCTTTCAAAGAATTTTTTTTTTTTTTTTTTTGGAAGTCTACCATTAGGTTTCATCACTTCATGAATAGGAGAAGTTTAGTGATGGTTGCTTCATTCCCTGAAAATTAATACTAGCTAGTCCATGGACTGGCCCAATTACTTGGGCCATCCTAGAAAATAAATTTATTTTGGGCCGCGTTGCCTCTGTCTAGCCCTTCCCTCGGCCCAATCCACTCAGCTCATCTCCAATGGGAAACGGAAGCATATACAAGTCAAGCGGACGAAGAGAGAGTAACGCAGAGAGCCTCGCTTGTTTTCTTTTTTCCTAGTTCGCCGGAGATTCCCCGTCGTCGTCGTCGTCGTCGTTCTCTCAAGGTAACGCAGGCTCTTTTTTACCATCTCTAATTCGTTCTTGCGATTCAGATTTCTCCCATTTCTATGTCAGATTTCCCTGGGCAATGATTGAATCTTATTAGCCTCGATTGTTTGAATTGAATCTTATTAGCACCCGATGATGCATCTAATCTTTGTCTATGTACGATGGTCGCCGTCGTTTTACCATTGCGATGACTGGACGAGCTCTCACAATTTTATCCCAGCTGCTGTATTTTTCTGTCCTAACAATTCCTGGTTTCACCTAATCTGATGGGTCGTCTGATCCGCTGTATTTGAAAATCGAATGCAAAATGATTCAATCCCGATTCCCGAATACGTGAATGCTAGGAAAGAAGGGAAATTGATCTTCAAATACATCGAATCGAACCAAAAGCGCACTGTTTCGGATTTGTGATTTCCTTCGTTATCGATATTGTTGTGTTCTCCTTACAAGATGTGTTCTTGGTACTGCAGCTGCAAGTTCTTTTGAGTTGGTGTTTGGTAGCTGAGAAACAAAAGCTGGGAACTTTTGCTGTTTGTTTTGCAGAAATGGCTGGCAGGATTCCTCACCCGGTGTTGAAAGGACCGAGCGTGATGAAGGAGATAGTGATCGGGATGGCGCTGGGGTTGGTTGCTGGTGGTTTCTGGAAGATGCATCACTGGAACGAGCAGAGGAAAGTGAGATCGTTCTATGACATGCTGGAAAAGGGCGAAATCAGTGTCATTGCACAAGAATAGTTGGATGATACATATATAGCGGAGTGAGCTCCAGCTCTAGCAGAATGGCGGGGCTTCAGGAGCTTAATTTTTATGAATTTGCAGTCTTCAATAAACCTTCAACTCGCTATGCAATGCAAATTTGCATGTTGTTTTGAGGATGCCTTTTCGTTGTGGTTATTGACATTCATTGTTTTGTTAGATTTAGCTTGTTTTGAAACACCCTTTGTTGTTCATTGGGTTCTCTTTATCTTATGGAGGGAGTGATTGACGACATTTCATCAAGAGGATTCCTTGGCAGTGCTTTTTATCTGCAGCTGCAAGAGGTTCTGCACAATTGCATTTCCCTGTTATAAGACCATCTTCATCTATACAGTTGATGAACAATTTCGAATGTGACCCTTACTCAATCATGTGGACACCATGGGATGGAATTGTCACTCTGGATTGGGAAGGATGAATTTGTGAAACCTAGATAAAACCAGCCCGACCACGAGCCATTGGCATCCAAGTCCAACCCACCAGAAACCACCCTGCTGAAAAGTACTTCACAGGGGATGATGGTGATATGTGAAATGAGTGTTTATGGTTGAACAAACTGAAACAAAAAAATCAACACGATCGGATAGCTCATCGACGTTCATCCACCGGCAAGCTTAAAATCATCCTTCCTCAACTCCAATCAACTCAAACACATTGATCGATCAATAACGAGAGATTTCTAGTACAGAAATGAGTTTTAAGACTTTCTGGTATAGAAATGAGTTTCTTTTCATTACATTACAGCAGCACAGCTTTTCTTCATACACAAGATTTGATATACACGTATACAAACAAATACAATTCCAGATTCGGGAAGAACAATAACTTAAGCCTCAAGTTTTTTTTTTTTTTTGGCTCCACAAAGAGCTCAGATAACAAACGGACGAGTCAGAAACTAGTAATAAAAAGTATTACATGGTTAAACTAGAATATGGGTTTTAATTGAGTCGTTTTTTTCTGTGAATATATATGAATATGATCATCAAACCACTTATGGAACTTCAAGTTTCCAAAGTTACTGAATAATCAGGCCCCAGATGGTGCAGCCGAACCGTCCCTAGAAGATACTCCGGTAACTCATCCTCCTCTTGTCCCTGCAATGCAACGAAAACAACATTTAAACGCGGTTCCATATATTTTGAAATGAAGAAGCTTTTTAATACTATACAGAAGGTAGAGAAAACGGCAACCAAACCTCTATCACAATTGCAAGATCAGCGACGAAGCTCGTATATCCAAAGCTCATGCCAATGATTTTCCTTGCTATGGCAGATGTCCCGATATCTGCATCCATCTGCAGATCGACGAACAAAAGGTGCTAATACATGTTAGACCTCAACTTGGTGCACCATTTTTGGACCGTGATGATCCAACAACTATTTGCAATACATGTACAAAAAATATAAACAACAGTGTAGTAAGGGAATTACCTCCAAGAAATTGTCTCGTCTCCGGTACTTGCAGTTTACAGTTTTGGATAGTATGCAAGCTTTGTTACCTACTGCTTTTTTTACCAGCCAGTAACCCTGTAAAAGAATCAAGCCATGAGCTATAGGGCATAAAATGGTGAAAAGCCATTAGAGCTTATAGCTAGGTGGAAAATTCAGGATTCTTAACAAACCTCAATATTGGGAATCAATTTGAATCTGGAATTCCGGAATGCATCTGTCCCGTTCACAAATTTATCCAACAATGAACCTGCCTTTATCGGCCTATCTGCTGCAAAGTAGAGAATCAAGCTGTGGCATGGTTTCGCCGGAATCTGAAACACACAAAAGTAAATGAGTAGTCTTCTTGATACCACTTCATTAAAGGGCATTATGGTTTTCACTTTATTCTTCCTCTAGAATCCTGCATGCCTTAGTTCACACAGTGCCCTACCTTCTACAGCCTATTTGAACTTCCTCTAACATAAATGAAGTCATGAATCAGTTGAAGTATACAAGTTAAGGATCATCACATGTCAAGAAGCCTCAACCTCACGTTAATTTCGATAAGCGTTTCTAAAATCTATAACTGCATGCAGCAGAGACCTTGTGCTGCAAATGAGATCAGAATGGAATAATTCGCATACCTGGAGATTGAAGACAAACACAAAAGGAAGCTTCTTCCCCAGTTCTGTCTGTATTTGACAAGACAAGGTTTAGTAAATGATTGCTTGAGTTCTACCTTATCACAAAGTGAAACGTAGGTACATCAATCTCAAGTTTAAACCAAAATATATATATATATCAGAAAAAAGTACTGTCAAATTACCTGAAGTAGACACTTAGGATGTAGACTGAACCATTCTATTGTTTCCTCACTTTTGAACCAATCAGCTGCAATGAGCTTCAGAAGAGGATCTCCTCCCATCACCTATACAAACACTTCAATACTCAGGTTACGAGCATGAACATTGATCCATAAGTCAGAAGTACGTGAGCTTTTGCAAAGGCAAAATTTAATAAAAAAAGCAAAGACCTGCCTTGATCTTATCTTGTAGGTAAGTCCTTCCTCTGACCAAAAAACCCATGTCAGCAGGAGTATCCCAACAGCCTTTATTCATTCCTTTGTGCATAGTACCAGAAAACACACTTGAATCAATGGTCACTGAAGGTACACTTTGATCCAATTCCCTATAATTGATTAAACCTGCAAATTCTGATGAATGAGAACTTAGGTCTTGTTGTGAAGATATACAGAAGAGAGATCTTTAAGGCCAAGGAAAGACCTGAAGTTTGCTTCTTGGCAAAGTTAGTGAATCTGATGGCCCAGAGAACATTCTTCAGTTTCACTATAGACGTCTTACTGACTGGATCGCTGTCGTTGACACCCTCTTCGTCTGACGAAGATTCACCGTTGTTTGCATCGAAAAACTGATCCTCGACATCTTCATCCTCTTGGTCACTCGAGGTATCAGAAACATCTGAAATACTTGAAGGGAGAACTGCACAAAGTGCTGGATTTGCCCCAATATATTCTTTCAGGCCTGCACGCAAATGAATAACTTAACATTAAGCTGACTTAAGAGGGGAAACAAACATCATCTAACCTCTGTAGCAACTATTCATAGTGCACACCACAAACTATTGATATCTATAAGCCACATCACTGAGAAACTTTTGTTTCCAACTCTCCCTTTGTAATAAGTATCTAATTTTTAAATCTCAAAAACCTAATAAATTATTTATATCTAAACAAACCATGTGTAATCTCATCAAATACTTTTCTATTACTAAAAATAAATCTCATACCTATCAACTCTACTTTATCTAAAACCTAACCAGACACTTTTTCCCCACTTTTACTAAAACTTAAATAAAAGTTACTTAAGCAAAAGCTGAAGAAAACACACCACGATAGATACACTTAGTTATTACTTGCATTGGACGGATCAGAAATAATAAAAAAAGGCAAGATGTCCAACGAAAACCTGCAACTTGAGACAGCAAAGCATATGGAATAGTCCTTTCGAACTTTGAACTGAGGTTTTGCTTCCATCTATTCCACCCTGCTTGATGTATCTCCAACATCTCTGTCACAAGACATTTTGCAGCTGTAGAACCCATTGGCGTGTTCAAGCTTCTGATCTCCCAGGTAGAAGCTACAAGTCAAGGGGAAGCATTACAATGAAAGGCAAGTCACAATGGAACTTTACTCTCTCCTGGGGGTAAACACACAAAGTTAATGCGTCCAAGCTTATTTTCTCATTTTTTAGCCAAGTTGACTTCCCCTAAGTTCAATCCATCAATTAATCAGTACCATATGGACAAACCTTAACAATATTCCCTCGATACTAGTTAAGCAAGTAAAAATTGAATCCTCTTACGGTTTATTTTCTTCCTTTGAAATCCAGATCTTGGGGGTCGTGTCTTGTGCACAGCTGGAAACTGCAAGATTGCTGCAGAAAGAAAATGGGAACTTAAGCGGACAGGTCCAGACTCCAAATATCTTTCATATAAGTCATTGGTTTCCAAATCATGATTCTGTAAGTAATGCTTACTGTAGGTTCCTCTCTCATAAAACCATTGCCGTGAAAAAACAAAATCTCGGTTGGAGCTCCACCTGAAAGACTAATGTTGACAATTAAATGCACCTGAGGACGAGAATCGATATAAAGAAACAGTTAAGTCTTGGGCAATAGATTACCGGGACAGGTTCTTTGGATTAAATGTGCCATATACAACATCATAGTTTCCATCACAAGAATCTAACAGCTCCAAATCACTTGTCAGTGTATCCCACCTACAAAATGGAAAAAACATCTTTGATTGAGAATCTTCCAAGGAATCTAACAGGGGACCAGAGAAAGGACATGCGACTCACTCGTATCTTTGATGTCGATCGAGGTTACGGAACACCTCGAAAACAGTGTCAGCACTTGCATCGATAACACCAACAGCCTTCACTAGAACGCCTTTGGCACTCTTAACAGATAAAAGAAGGAGATTCAGGGAAAAGAAGAATGAATGATCAAAGAGAAGTGCAGAGAAGCAATTATTAACAGTAAAAATAATCTACATGCATTGGGGCACAAGATACAAAAGACTTGTCCTTCAGTAGAATTATTTGCTTTAACTTGTTCAGTGTACGATGCGAGAGCTATTACTCTTCAAGTTATCATAGTATGAAAAGGGGTAATTCTTTCAGGGTGCAGCAAGTTTGATTGAAAATCGACAGGATTAAAAGAGATACCTTAACCTTGCTATTGGAGACATCCTCTAAGATGCGAACACCTGAAAGCAAAAGAGGAACCTTTATTTTCGAGTGCTTGGATCTTTGTATCACTTAATTGGTCATAGGATACATTGTCTACCACTTGAAGATGAATCTGACTATTATACTCCACAATAACTGAAATCTACATAATCAACACCCTGTTGTCTGATATTTATTTTTCATTTGACTTTCTAATCTTCATTTTCATTGGAATCCTTTGTTTGGAAGTACGGAAGAATATCAACTCCTATGTCTGGATTCTGCATGCCTTTCAAGAACAAAAAGGAAGTACCATTTATTGTACGAATGCATTTCCATTCATGCGTTTCAACTGCATCTCCACGTTCCTCTTCAAAATATCCATCTGTCTTGAACTTTGAGCCCAAACTTGATGATTGCAACAAAAGCTTTTCCGGACCTTCGGAGATATGCAATAAAATGAGTCCAAGCATCTACGAGTTACAAGATTTAAAGGGTATTTCCTAGAAAATGAGGTAAATCACTAGACACAATAAATTTGTGCAAAGAAGAAAGCTTGAGATTAATTGTTTAATATTCAACTGGGTACTCCCAACTAAATACATATGGGCTAATCCATTAAAAACAAGAAAAGAACATATGGGTCAATCATGCTTGGAATAGAACAATGATATATCCTTAAATTTCCTGGAATGCGCTTCTTTTTCTTGATATGACTAAGAGTCAACTGCCAATAGCTGAATTTGGTAGAATGAAATCAAAGGTATTACTATCATGCCAAGAGCTTGTGTTTCTAGCTATTACGATAAGTCGATAATGACTCATAGTGAAATCCATTAGCAAGGAAGACAATAACAGTTGTGAAGATACTCAATAGTCAGGAAATGATTAAATGATGGCCTCTGAGTTGAATCAAGAAAAAGTGTGCGTGCCACCTTACCTCTACTTATACTAATAAGTCGTTTCAATCCAGTTGCATACCGCCGTACTCTATGTCGACGTCCACCTAAATTGATCCTTGAACATGAAAAATTAACAAGATCATTGACCAATCACGGGTATAACGAGAAAAAGAAAACGGGTGGAAGAAAAAGAAGAGTTGTGTCAATATCTTGTAAAACAGCTCATTGCGACAGAACAATCAGAGAATTCGCAAATTCAAAAGAGTAGTGATATACGGAACACGTTAAACTGGACTTTTATTTTGGTCGAGTGAAGTTGTACGAAGTGATATAGTTAGTTATACACTGGGAACTTACTCAGTGTCCATGCTCAACCTGTTTCTAGCACTTCCCTTGCGTGAAATCAACTGCCCCACCTACCAAAAAACCACAATGTATGAGCATGAGAAAATGATGAATCTATCACATCGGCTTTCATTCAGCAGAATCTCTTTAGAAATGCAATAGGATAAACAAAGTGAAATGTATACCTGTAGCTTTGCACGATCAAATGCCTCCATCCATTTTCGAGCTTCTTCAGCTGAAGCACAAGCAATCTAAAGCAACGCAACAAAATCAGCCCAAAAACTGATTCAGAAGGCAGCTAAGAGGTGAACTGCAGCGAGTTTTCTTGACAGCATAAAAACCAAATAAACGAAGGAAAGCATAACCAAATGAAATCAAATTGTAAGGTAAGGAGATCTCATAATTCGGAAAAAGCAAAGGTAAGCGTTAACTGTCACTTACTTCTCCCTTTTTGGTCTCGTCCAATCTGTTGTAAAACCGCAACACATAAACATCCTACAAGCAATGACAAAGCCGGAATGAGAATTTGCAGTGACATATCTTCGAAAAGATTCTCAAATTGCCACTCCAAGAGCCAGAAAAGGGTACCAGATGTAACCAAAAACCAGAGCCAAAAGTGCCTACCTTTCCCCCCCACTTTGCCAAACTACTAAATAAAGAGAAAGTAGAAAACTTACCCCACGATGAACCCTTCTGCACCCTAAATCTTCCACCATAAATGTTGGCCCAACCACACCCCTTCTGATGGGTCTCTATACAAAACAAAAAACAGTTGAGCATTGACAGCAAGGAAATAAAAGAATTCAACATTCATTAAACTAGCCAGCCTTGGAACTTCCCAATGTGATAGCTACTACACTGAGAGAAGTAAGGGGGGAGTTCAGGAAAAACACGGAAGGGTTGGTATCAGCTGACTCCATTAATGATCTCCCCACAATCCACATGTTAAGAAAATTGGGGGGAAAAGAAGCAGTAAAAATTGGGGGTGGGGAAAAATTCTCACAATTCCAGGATGCTGGTGAGGATCGCGCTTGAACATCTCCACAATCTTTCCCCTTATGACGAGAAACCTCAGGAAACAATACACATACCCAATTGAGCTCGTACCCAAATGATACACCCACCCGAAGTACTCAACAGTTCCTTTCTCTTTCTCTTCTTCGGCCGCGGCCACGGCGCCGCCGCTGCAATTAGAGCTGCCGCTGCTCCTCCGACCACTACCACCACTATCATAACTTTCAACCTCCCATCCTTCCCCCGACATTTTCCCCAAACTTCCTCTGAATACCAAGCTTCCGGCGAACTGTACCAATGAAATAAAGGAATCCCTGAATGTCGAAGAAAGAGATGAACTTTATACAACCAATGAAGGGGATGGAGGGGAAAAGGAGGACCCATGAGGAGGACAATACGAAACAAGAGCTTCATTCGGTTCTCCGCCATGTCCTGTTTTGCTCTTGCAAGGAATCGGCAAAAAGAGAATCGTAAAGCTCTCCCTCTTCGCTTCCTGGGGGTCAATGCTTCTCCCCCTTGTCGCTTTCCCAGGCTTAGGAGAGTTTGATGACGTTTCCCACTTGTTTTCTGCTTGTATTTACTCAGAATCGTAGAAATGGCGACTACCCACCAAAACGAAAAAAGAGGGAAATTCCAATTCCCGTTTTCGGTCGTCGATAAAGCTTCCATCTTTCCGGTTTTTTCCGTCGAGCCCTTTCTCCGGTTCGGAGTTTCGGGCGGGGTTGGCTCTCTTTGGGCGTTGGAGGCATAAAAATGTGCCAATTCTCGTAGCTTTCCCCCATGTTGTTTATCTTTTACCGGAAAACATATTCTTGAGCGATTACTCTTAATCTAAGGGGTAAAACAATCATATGAAATTGTCAAATGGGTGGCGAGGTAGAAAACAAATAGGATTGGTATCATTAAACATTGCCCATGACGAGGTCTGACAATGAAAGCATAGCCGGAAATATGCCCATGAACTCCAGTTATGGGCAAAGTCTTTGGTGTCATTGTCATGGCATCGTGAGGGTTGGTTGGTTCAAGCCATTAAGGATCTAAGTAGACATTTAGTTAACGGTGGAGATAACATCGGATGAGCTTAAGAAGAGAAAATATATTTATGAAAGATTTTGAAAACTAATCTCTATCAACAACTTCATATCTGTAATCTAATTGTAATATTCAATCACTCATATATCATGGTCTTTGGGTTGAGTCTTCATTGCTGACCTTATACTTATTGATTCGTGCCCACATTTTTTTTTACGAAAGATATTCATATATATTGAATCACCAAAAAATAGTTACATCCTGGAAATCAGCCAGGTCTGGAAATCAAACATACGACTCGCAGTCGGAGATAATGAAAGGGCCTTTCTAGCCACCAAATGGGCTACCCTATTGTTACGACGACCTACAAATCGAACACTAAACCCCGGATGCAAGGCAAAACAAGACACCATCTCTTCCAGCACCGCCCCCCATTCGGATATCGCAAACCTCCGCCCGAACGATCTTATCGATGACAACCTTGGCATCTCCCTCAAAGCAAACTTCAGAGAACTCATTCTCAAGACACCACCATAATGCCTCTCGCAGCGGCAGCACCTCCATTACAGGGTCATCAATGCATTGGAATTGGACCCCGCGAACCATCAAATTATCTTTTGCTGGAGTCATTAGCACCATGCCTCCTGCCGAGTGAGACCCCTGCCGCGTCGCCCTATCCCACATGCAGAGGATCGGACTACTAGTCCCAGTGCTAGTCAGAGGTGGCACTGGAGCAGACAATGGGTTCTCTCGCTCAACCGGCACCCTTAACCACTCATCTACCTGTTGATTTAACTGGCGCATCAAGGCCGGGATCCCGAACTGTTTTCCTTAAAAAACAACCCAATTACGAGAGCGCCAGATTCGCCAAAGTACAGCAATCACGGTCAGTACCAGATCTGGTTGTCCAATGAGAGCTAACAATCGTTTAAGGAAAAAGCGGGAAAGTATGGCGAGGCAAACCCTGACCCAGGTATTCCAACCCAGAGTAATCCCATAGCGCCCGAGCCACTGGGCAATCCAGAAACAAATGCTCCATGGTTTCCTCTACTTCCCAACAGACAGAACATCTAGGGTGGACCAACACATCCTTGTTCCTGAGAGCCTCTGTTGTGGGGAGAATCCGATTAAAAACTTGCCAAACAAACACTTTAAGCTTGGGCGGGATGTTGGCTTCGCAAGGTGGTAAGCCGACTTAACCGAGAAAACCTCATCCGCTGTGTCATTCCAGACAAGACGATCTTCTATGTCTTGTCGAGGGAGCAGAATTGCTCTAATGGCTCGACAGGTAGGAGGATCAAACCACTGACTGAGTTTAGAATCACACCATCGCCCTTCCCCCGGGCAGATCACCTCCTCCACCCAAAGGTCGCACCCTACCGGAAGCACCACGGGGTTATACCGCGGAGGAGAGGGGTGGAGCTGAGGAACCTAGTGAGAAGAGAGAAGAGGCGTTGTCCGACCATTACCAATCTGCCATCTTAACCCTTGCGCCAGCAACTGCCTGCCATACAGAATACTCTGCCAGCCCCAAGACGGTTGGGAACGTGCAGTAGCCGTAAGGAACGACCCCGTAGGGAAGTATTTTCCTTTGTATACTTGAACGAAAAGGGAGTGGGGTTCAGTAACGATCTGCCACCCAATCTTGGCTAATAAGGCTTGGTTAAAAATCTCGAATCGTCGGAACCCCATACCCCCATCATGCTTGCTTCTGCACATATTCTTCCATGATACCCACCGAATTTTAGACTGGTCCTCCACCACATTCCACCAAAACCTAGCCACATGTTTATCGAGAAGCCGACACAGGGAAAGAGGAAGTTTGAAACAGGACATGACATGCAACGGTAGCGCCAAGGCCACGGATTTAATCAAGACTTCCTTAGCAGCCCATGACAACGTCCTTTGCTTCCATCCTTGTAGGCGCTCAATTATTTTGACATGTCAATTGAGTCCCCCTCGATAACTACATAATTATATATGTACGTTCTGCGTAGTGAATCTCATCCTTAAGAACGTTTTCTTCCTTATACGTTATAGTCTTTACAAAGAGAAAATCAATTTAAATAGAGCTACAACTAGCTTCTACTCGATAGTTTGTTGTAGGTCGTATTTCTTTATTTCACGTACTTGTTAGACTACTTATAACCTCACTATTTCAATCATCCATAACTATAAACTAAATTCAATTCAATTATCTGAAGAAAAAAAAAACAAAATCGCAGATCATAAATTAAAAGTTAAAACCCCATTAATAAAATACAGGGTTTTCCATAAAAATAAAAATAAAAGTATTTAGTTGTTCACTTTTTTAGCCAAATAAATCAGACTAAAATTAGCAAACCCTTTGGTAGCCTGGCAGGCAGGGGTTTTTTTTTTTGCCATTAGATCACTCTTAATAAGAGGAAATCATTCAGATACATGATGATCAGCAGAGTTTAAGCAACTCTGGAATGTAACCAAGAACAGAAGTCAAACCTCCGAAACAATGGAGGCGACAAAGAAAGAGCATGGCGGGCCACTATGCGTCGCGCTGTTGCGAATACGATCAACGAATTGAATCTTATATGAACCCACATCATCTTGAATCCCAATAACTTCCTGTAGAATTGTACCAATCTTGCTGTCAGCCGGATCCCTCGCCAAACACTTGTCTATGATCAGTTTAGCATCTCCACAGATTGTAAGATCTCTAAGCCCACGCCGACGACAGTCAACAATGCAGTCTCATAAAGCCAAGGCTTCTAACACATATGGATCTATCATCGCTTCATATCGATTAGCTGAAGCAGCCACAATCCCACATGACAAATCAAACATCACAAATCTGGCAGGCAGGCTTCACCGTCGTGACTTCACCCAAGAAATCTTGGGCCGTAGCCCAAGTCCATGAAAAGTCCAATCGAAACCCAAGTCCAATAGGGCCAGTCCAATAACAAAGCCCAAAATATTTTTCCACGACCGGCCGAACTGAAGTCGGTTTCAAGTCCACAACTGACGCCTGCCACATATATAAATAAATAAAAAGAACCGCCTCTAACCACGAAACTTCGCACTAGAATAACGATATTACCCCTCTTTCACCATACACCCAATGTCAGCACTCCCGTAATTTCCACCACTCTCGACGTCTAAAATCGTCCAACCACATATTCCCCAACTTGGAAAGTGACAATTTCCCTGCTCCCCGATTCAGCTTATAAATACCAGTCCCCAAAAATGGAGTTCTTCCCAGTACGGATCTCAAAAACTTTTCTATTTTTCTTTCCCTAATTTTTCATTTTTCCCAGTGAAGAAGGAAAAATTTCTCTCAGGAAACTGTGATTCGATCTCTTTGTGTAGCGTTTGATTTGCTTGCTCGGAAGAAATGGCGACGGCGATTCTGTCCCCTCGTGATTGCCTGCAAGGTCGGTTCCGCCGCGAAGCATTCACCCTGCGATCTCCTGCTTCGCGCGCGGCGTCGTCAAGGGATGCGGTTGCGAACCCTAAGGCCGACGCTCGCAGGCGGAAGAGGAGCCCCATGGGGAGCCAGAAGGAAAGGGCGGCTTCGCGATCGCAGTCTCTGGTGGCGAAGCTTCCAGGGAATAACCTCGTGATGGGACAGGTGAAGATATTGAAGCGCGGGGAGTCGCTCGACTCTGTTACGGAGAGTGAGGATGAGAAGAAGGGGAAGAGGGAGGAGGGCGAGGGGAAGAAGGTGGTGGATCTTGGATTGGGATCGACGGATCGGCTTGGGCCGGAGCCGGAGATTGTTCAGAAGGAGATTAGGGTGGAGGAGTTCAATAAAGTTGGGGATACGATGTATGCAGGTTCGGCGTTTTTCACCTCACCGCCTCCGAGTTCGCTTCCCGTGCCGGCCTTTCTGGGGAAAGGTGGGGTTGGGGATGCTACTACTGGTCTTAGGCGATTACTGGGGCTGAATCTGGTTTAATTTGATGATCAATTGGAAGGTGATGGATCAAAAGATGATGATGTGGTGGTGGCTGTTTCGCTGTTGATGCTGCTTCTGCTGCTTCTGCTGCTGGCTTAATGGTTTTCTGCTTTTGATGCTGCTGCTGTCGTTGATTGCTTGGCGACTAGAAGCTTGTGATCTCTCCTTTATTTTTTCAAGAGGAAGGCTGATCAGAGCTCAAGCAATTCGGTGGGATGTGCCATGTTGGCGATGTGGAATATGAACTCAGATTCTCCTCCATGAATGATTGTAACAGGGGAAAGATTAGACGAGTAGTTTTGCTTCAGCAATCGTGGGGTTGGTTAGGATGGTTCTGTATTGTAAATGTTGTCCTTACACGCAACTGTCTGTAACCTTTTGCTCTCTGTAGCGTCAGTGTTTCGAGGTTCTCTCTGTAACCTCAGTGTTTCGAGGTTGGGATTCTGGGTTGTCTGCTTTCATCCATGTAGTAGCCTCTCTCTTATACACCACTTATGAAATAAAAGTTTGAACCTTTGGCTAGTATATAAGGTATGTCCATTATTTCTTGAGTATTCTCTTATTATGCAGACTGGAAGTTTTGTTTAGTCCCATATCTGTTGTTGTGGGGTGTGAAATTGAGGAACTTTGATGCTTATACCCTTGGACAGATGATTGTTTTATGAAGTTTGTTCTTTTCGGCATAAACTCGAGACCATGGATAGATTTCTAATTCAGCTTGCTTGATCAGATTCATATAGGGGCCTTTGAGCATAAAGCAGCAGCATATGTTTCAGGACAAATGTCTTATTGATTTAGAATGAGATAAAAATATACTAATTGTTGGTACAAATGGTAGGATTCATGAGGTCATATAGCTATATTGCTGAGAAGTTTCTTTTGTTGACTGCTAAATAATGCATACTATGTACAAATCGAGAGGTGACATAGGCTATTGAATGTTTCTTACTGCCTCATCCATTTCCACTGCATTACCGTTTGGAGTCCCGCGGGATTCCATCTCCTCTCCAACTATCTTTTTCCAGAACCAATGTTTTCTCCACAGGAGCACTGTCTCTTCGATGGGGACTCCCTTTGTTTCAGGCAGGAAGAAGTAGACGAATGCTGTCATGAGGGTGACCCAGCCGGCAAAGAAGAGGAAGATGCCGAACTTGAATGCGCACAGCATGGAGAGGAAGCATTGACCAATGATGAACGTGAAGAGAAAGTTCACCGATACAGTAATGCTTTGTCCAGCTGATCGTATCTCCAGTGGGAATATTTCGCTTGGTACAGTCCAACCTAGAGGACCCCACGACCATCCGAATCCCAGCACGAAGAGGCAAACGACTACCACAACCAAGACCGAGTAACCTTTCGAGAGATGCTCATTTGTTCCGAACTTCAGCCCCAGGATTATGGAGACAGTCACCTGTTGAGATAGTTAACCAAGGGTCATTTCAGGGTAAGTTCGTTAGATCCAAAGATGAGTGAGGATGCTATGTCACTTATGTTTTTTACCTGGCAGATGATCATGATGATTCCGCCACTGATGAGTAGCATCCTCCTGCCCAATTTGTCAACTGCAGCGATGGAAAGGAAGGTTGAGAAGAACAGAACAGCTCCTGTTGAGGCCGAGGAGTAAAGGGCTGCATCTTTCCCAAACCCCATGCTCTGAAACAGCACTGGAGCATAAAAGAGGATTGCGTTAATTCCTGTCATGATTTGGGATGCTGGCATGCAGATAGCCATAACCAGTTGCGGCCTGTTTCTTCGCTCAAGAATATTTCTGAATGGATGCTTGATTGAGTTGGCCATCTCACTCGCGTCAACCATGTCCTCGAATTCTGCATCCACATTGCTTGTTCCTCTGATTTTTTCCAGGACCTTTCTTCCCTTTGCTTCTTGCCCTCTTTCGATTAAGCTGTTGGGTGTTTCTGGAAGAAGCATTCCGCCTACTGCCATGAGGAAAGCTGGGACTGCGGCTAATCCTAAAGATAGTCTCCACCCCCATGGCTCGAGCTTTTGGGTTCCGTAGTTGACCATGTTTGCTGAGAAGATTCCGAGAGTAGTTGCCAGCTGGAAAAGCATGTTCAGTCCTCCGCGAAGATGGGTTGGTGCCATTTCTGATAGGTAGAGTGGAACAGCCTTCAAAGAAAACATAAGGATATCTCAAAGATAAACTGCATGAACTTGTGATACAACTACTAAGCCAATGTGTACCTGATTTCCGAATCCAATGCCGATGCCAAGCATGATCCGGCCTGCCAGCAGCATTGCTATATGGACCGCTGCAGCATTCAATGATGCTCCAATGAAGAAACTGATCCCACCGATGATAATGCTGGCTCGGCGGCCGTAGCTTCTTGTTATGGGACTTGCCACCAGGGATGCAACCAAACCAGCAAGGTAAAGAGAAGAGGTGAAAGTTGCTAGCCCTTGATCATCGTACTTGCAGTAGTTGTTTTCTTTAGCATGCTGCTTCTTCTCATAGACATTGTGGAAGAATTTGCTTAGAAATCCATCCATGGATGTAACTCCTCCTGTTGGCAAACCATTTCGACATTAACAGAGGTCAAAACCCTTCTAAAGTTCCTCAATACATATGGCTGACAAAACCAATTTTGATTTCTATGATCCGATAACTTCCATGTTGCCATTTCAGGGAAGAGGGGAGAGAGAGAGAAAGAGAAGAAGAAGCCAGAAAGCCAGAAACTTTACCTGAAATTCCAACATCATAGCCAAAGAGAGAGCCTCCGGTAGCTGCAACCATACAAGCAATGATGACAGATGCAGTGACCTTCCCTTGGTACTGCTGTGCCCTCTCCTTGGCCACCCCGGCTGGGCCGAATGACCCTCCCGCCATTGTCTTCTTCTCTTTTCTTCTCTTCACAGAACCAGAGCTGGTATCCTTCTTCCTATGGCTTCTCCTTTTCAAAGATCTGGAGAAAGGACTGGTATTTTTCCTCTTGTGTGTGTATATATGTGGGGAAAAGATGCAGAATTGCCGGTAAATTGTCAACTTGCAGATTGGAACCGACTTGGGAGTTGAGTTTTCTCCCCCTTCTAAGCTTGGCTGGTTAGACACACAACTTGATGTCTTAAATTCTGTCTTCTCTTCTCACTCTTTTATTTATTGTCATATTTGGTATTTCTTGAAACCATCTCTCTTCAGAATTCAATGCATATTTGAACTTTTGGGTATGATTTCCTTTGTGGGATTTATTTTTCTTGCTAGGGTGGGATCTACATGAAAGGGACTTGTTGGTCGACTTTTACTGCAAGATGGAAAGAGGCAGACGAAACAATAAACTAAGCCTCAAATTGCAAACAAAATTACCTTCTTCCTAAATTCAGTTGAAGTTTGGCAGTCTTACCAGATTTTGACTACTTGCATGTTTTCAGGCAGTGGAATTTGCAGCTTCTTCCTTTTCTGATGGTGATTGAACAACAGTTGGTTGTTTCTTGGTTATTGGCTCAATATTGCATTCAATATGCTTGTTAATGCGTTTGCCTTTTTGGGTTATCTTTTCGGCTATTACAGATACTTATCTTTTGGATGAAGCTGCAATCTGCACATTGATGAATCTTGATGGTAGATGACATTAGATAGTAAATTTTACATGCCTCGAAATGATATAATCTCAAATTCATAAGAGTGCAATGAACTAAAATGTACGCGCAACGAACAGCACGCATTTTCATATGTATTTACCATACGCAGCCTATCTAGTATTTCTTTTATGTATTTTCCCCCCTGTTGGTAATGTTTTAATCGTGTTCAACATTTTGTAGACAAGTATTGATTGCATATGTGGGTTCTTTGGTTGTGTGGATGTGATTTGAGTTATGGAATTCTTTCTCTTCTATTCTCTGTTTTGTCAGGGCATGGAGCAGTGCCACAGAAACTAAGGCCGTAAATCACTTAGCTCTCTCTCCTTGATTGCAATAATACAGGTGAGATGGATACACAAGAAAGATGACATGGCAAGAGCTACCAAACAAGTCGATAACGCAGCTCTTCTTTCTGGACCTCTCTTTGTTTTCCCTTTTTAAGGCTCTGTCCCAAGTGGGAACTGGCTCCCAGAATTCTCACAAATGTGGGCAGTGAGATAATGTAAATAGGAGGTTGTATCCTATTACCTATTTAGTCGATTTTCGATCGGACCGTTGATACGATTGAAAAACATTGATTAATGCCTTATCAACTGGCATAGACTGTTCTAGGTTTAATTAGCTTAAACCCTGAATACATCGATTAATGGGTCGGTCTAAGATTATGAATTCTTTGATCAAGTGGAAGCTACAAACAATGATTTGTAGTAATTGTTGCTTGTAGGATCCAATGAGCTACATGAGCTTTGTAACAACTTGTCCCCAGTCAACTAGGCAACTTAACCAGCTGGTGGGTTGTGGTGGTCAACTGAAACCTCATTGGTAAGGCGGCTTTATGTTTCCAAGAAGAATTGATCTTTAATCAACTTGTGCTCTCTTCTCTCTTCCCATCCATTTCGGGAAAGCATTGACTTTGATCCCCACGATTATGGCTAATGGTGTCGTTTTAGCTGCGATGTAAGCATTAACAAGAACCAGTCCAGTTCGAATATGTGGATATGACACAAGCCATGGTGAAAAAAGAGAGGAAAGAAGGTCAAGGAAGAGAGAGAGACACAGTGAAGAGCCATATATAGTCAGCTTCTTTCTTGAGCCTGATCTTGAACAAAAGCTTTGAATCCTTCGTTGTGTCGGATTGTTGAAAGCCACTACTACATGTATTGAGAAGTTCAGATTCTGGGGTTTTTTTCTAGTGAGTTCAACATCTCAACCACCTGAATACTGTAACGTTGCTGACCACGTCTCTCGTTCTGCTCAAAACACACCGCTCAAGAAACCCCTACAAACCCAGAAACCACCAACTAATCAGTGGACTTTCGGAATATCGAGGACAGATTTCTGAGTAAAACATATGAATGAAGATCGAGATTTCATACCAGAAGCCTGAGGCTTTCTTGGCTTGTTCTCTGCAAAAGAACAAGAGTGCCCTTCTTTTGTTAGCCACCTCATGTGTTTAAAGATAGATGACAAATCCACAATAGGCTAAAAAAGATGGCATGAAAGTTTGGGAATGAAGCAGTCAAGTTTTCTTTCTTGGTTTCTTACTTTGTTCTCCCCATGAAGGCGTTATTTATCTCGTCGGAGGTAGGTTTCTCTGGAAATGTCGACAATGTTGTGTACTTTTCCTTTCCCGGGGCTTCATCAACCCTTTTGTACAGCTCGTAAGGGTATGGATATGACATCCTGTGAATTCGCGATCATGATTCGTTACTGATCCAGCATTGTGAATGAGGAAGTAAGTGACATAGAGAATAAAGTTGAGGGACTTTGTTTTAGGAATTAGATAATCTCTCACCTAAGAGCTCCCATGATTGGATACTGAGTTCCTGCATAGTAGAGAAGTCGAAAGAAGTAGCAGTTCTCGAAGGAAGCTGCATACTTGAGCCTTTCCTCCCTTCCCATTGTCTACATGAAGTAAAGTGTACAACTGTATAAGTAGGGAAATGATGGACTCATGATTTGAAGGTTTTCCTGGTGTCATTAGGTTTTGTCACTTACTTGCATGATTCCACTAGAGGCAGGCAAATCCTGAGGTTCAAACCGAGTTTAGATGAGAAAGAATACATTTAGGAGCAACTTTAAGTGACTGTGATGTGGGATCAAGACATTAACCTTGAGTTTTGGATTTATCAGAATGACTGGACGACTCCCAGCAGCATCAGTCATGGCTTCTAGATCCTGCAAATTTTCGGCATATGAATATAACCAGGCAATGTAGAATAAGTTCCTATTATGTAAGGAATTGGAGCATATTTCTGCATAACTTACATTGATGATGCAGTTTCCTACAGCATTTTGTGGAGCAATTAAGATGAACATGTCATCTTGTTCTTCAACTTCTTGACCACCTATAGAACCGATCTTGACAAAGGTCCCCATAGCGCCATCACTGCCCCAATCCATGTATTCCAAGATCTTACGTGTTCCCGCAAGTTGCAGTGGCATTCCAGCAAGGGCCCCTGCCCCCATAGAGCCTTGAACACAAACCTGGAAAAAATGGCAAGGACAAGCTCTCAGAAAACTGGGGGGGGGGGGGGGGGGGGGGGGGGGGGGGGGACTCACAGGGAAACTTATTTGATGTTAGCTATACTAATACTACCTTGACACGTTTCCCATCATCTGCAAACGAGAGAGCAATCTCTCGAACGAGTTCCATCAGGGTACCTATTCGATAAACATCCTGTGGATCATTAAGACAGAGTCAAATCCAAAAGTTAAGTATCACTGCATGGCAAAAGGGAAATTTTGCCTCACCATTTCAGGGTTAAGCTCTGGGATGTTGATATCCACCTACCAATACGAAGTAATAGGTTAGACAAATGAAGTTCCTCTAAGAATCCTTGTAACATATGGATTACACAGGGCTGATTCCGTCAAACAACGTCTTGAATCAAAGTTGGGTTTCGTACATAAACTTTACCCTTAAGCGCGTTCTGCCATCGTTAACAGCCCTTTCAGTGGCTTGGAGCACATCAGTGTAGAAGTATTTCCTGATTTCTCTGGAATGGGGGATATTGTTCAACCTAGTGGGAATTCCCCTCCATTTTCCCTACAAGGAACTAAAAGAAATATAAGACAGGATGCATGCTCGGATTATGATATAGCCCAACAATAAGTACCATTTAATCTCTACCTGGCTAGCTAATGCCTCACTGGATTGGCTCCTAGACTCAACCACAGATCTTTCTGCACTTTAGAAATGAGAATCAAGGCTGAGGGGGGACCTAGTAAACTTCCATAATGACTCAAAAACATTGAAAACGCTCACTAGGCTTGATTGACTCAGCTTTGTCTTCCTGCACTTGTGACAGCAGGCTCTCTATCTCCTGAAACACTGCATCTTTCGATCGGTTTCCATCCATCTGCATTTCGAAGGAGAATCGTAAAGGGTCAAAGGCTGAGATTGATATTGTTCAGAAGATATGAAAGAAAGCACAGGCAGACCTACTTACCTGTTTAATTATCTTTGAATAAGTGGAGAATGTGGCTTCAGCATTTTGTTTGTATATCTGGAGCCGTGCTTTTACCTAGGCATGGTTTAGAGGTAATGATAACCATGGTACACATGAAGAGCACTGCATTAAGGGACAAACTGGATTATGATTAATTACCTTTTCTTCAGTGTCATCAGGACGAACTGTTAGTCTTGCTTTGATCTCCTCAGATCCTGGAGGGAAGTTATTAATGTGGTAAATCTTCCCAGTCACAGGATCCAACCTTCTACCGACACATCTATCAATCAGAAACTCATCCGGAACCTGACATATTAGTACAGAAAAAGCCAGTTAAGCTTACAAAGAACGTCTATGAATCTGCAGAAATAGTAAATAAATAAAGCCTACATTCAACACAATGTAGATGTCCGGTCTGATGTTAAGCTTCTCCAAGCTCTCAGCTTGCGAAGCACTCCGCGGATAGCCATCCAGAAGCCATCCTTTCTCCTTTGTATCCTGCCGGGATAGCCTTCCTGTAACCATCTATAGCCCAAAAAAGGGGAAAAGCCCATCATTAGCAATAGATCAAATGCTAAACTAGGTAAGCTAAAGTTCATTTCTTTACCGCGGTAACAATTTCATCAGGAACCAGCTTTCCAGCATTCATAAACTCCTTGGCCTTATTCCCTATCTCCGTGCCACCAGAAACTTCAGCTCTTAGGAGATCCCCAGTTGATATGTGAATCAATCCAAACTGCAAACGGATTCGAGTTATCCTCTATTCGTAAAATCAGCACGAAAAGGTCGAATGGCTAGACGAGCTTTAGCTAGCTAGTTACCTTCTGAACAATCAGCTCGCACTGAGTGCCCTTGCCGGAAGCTGGAGCTCCAGATATCATCACCTTCAATGGCTCAACGGCAGAGCATCTGATTCTCAAACCCTGCCAAATATACAAATGGAGACCACAACAATCAAGAATTCTGAAAACAACCCATCAATTCTTGTTCTCGGTAAGATGGACAGGAAGCAAAAAAGATCAAACCTTGGGGATTGATTTCATCCTGAATTGGTAAGCGGTAGAACTCGGAGAAACTTCCATCACGCGGTGCCATGGCGCCTGCTGTAAGGAAACAGAAGAAGAATGGTACGGTGAGGAAGAAGGGAAAAGGGAAAGAGAAGGAGCGGCGGCGGCGGCGGCGGCGCTGCCGGGGTAGTGGAGAGTTGGAACTGAGCTGAAGAGTAACATTCTTTTGGCTCCAATGGCGGTGGTCGCTCGCTGCTCTGCCCACTTCACTTGGGTCTTTCAGAATCTTTTAACGGCTTAACGGTAACCACATAAATTTCTTTCTTTTTCCCATTTGTTTTTTCTTCTGTTTTGGTTCGTGCATCGGTCCACAATCTTTGCGTTTAATCTACCTACGAAATCGTTATCCTAATCTGCAAGTTCATACACTGTAGGATTCGTGTTCGGGACTGATCAAATGCATGATTTGCAAAATCGTACCACAAAAACGATAAAATCGTACAAATTATTAGAATGGTATCTAACAATATGATCGTCGTTTCGACATAATACTAACCAAAATCGCGACATAATACTAACCAATAACGAACCGATATACAGTGGGTGGAGGTTTGATCGCATTGTACCGATCCTTACAAACTTCTCCGATATGTATACCATACAACTCTAGTAGATTATGTTTCTGGTCGGACCGTCGATATTGTACACAAACCATGATCAAAACATGCAAATGAACTTTCTGGGTATGAAGAAAACTCTATAACAAGCCATGAGGGTTGCCATCTATGGACAAACCAAAACAGAAAAAAGACTTACGGGAAACTTATTCCTACTACATTGGTAATTCCTCTTTCCTACCAAAAGCAAAGAAAGTGAAAGACAACTTAAATGACAAAAGGTCAACAAAGAGATAAGAAACCGCTGTAAACTACTACTGTTGTAAAGAGCTGCTGGTACAATGATGAAACCATTGCTGCACAGGAGGCTGATCAATCCAACTTAACTGACGAGAACAAGTAATGCACGAACCAGAAGGACGAAAGGAACCCGACTGTGCCAGTAGCCAACATGATTGCTAGAACCATCAGTAATGAGTAGCCCAGGTAAAGGGTTGCAGAAACTGGCCCGCTCAAGCTCTTCAGGTCGAATATCAGGTAGTTTATGGAGTACAAGAATATGTAGATGGCGACCGAACCAGAGGCAAAGAAAGATTTCCACCACCACTTCCAGTCCTCCACGCACAGATGCATGTAGGTCAAGACAAGTGAGACCTCGGCACAAACCACAACCAGAAGGATGAACACGATCAAGAGGAATCCGAACACATAGTAGACTCTGCCCATCCAGATGCTTGACATGATGAAGAAGAGCTCGATGAAGAGGGTGCCGAAAGGTAGGGTTCCAGCTCCGAGGACTAGGAGCCAAGATGGATACTTTTGAGCTGGGATTTCTCTTGGGATCTGGTTGGTGCGAACTGGGTACTCGATGTGGGGCGCCCTTGCTCCAAAGTATCCTCCAATCAGGGTTAGTGGAACAGAGATGCAGAACCAGAGAAGGATTAGGACGACGAAGAGAGAGAATGGGATTGCACCAGTACTATGACTACCCCACAGAAGGAAGTTTAGAGTGGTTAGGATCACGAAAGCAATCCCCGGGAAAAAGCAGGAGACTTTCCATGACACGGAAGCCCATCCTTTTCCATCTCCACATCCCATTGTTCTCCACAGCCGAACAGCTGCATATCCTGCTGCAATTCCAAGGATCATGAAGAAGACTAGCATACCGGTTAGGAGGGTACCCCGAGAAGCTGGTGACATGAATCCTAGAGCAGCAAACAAGACAGTGGCAACCGCCATTCCCAGGATCTGAACTCCATTGCCCACCATAACACATAATAGGGCCGAGTTTGTTGGGGCACGGAAAACATCACCCACGACCAGTTTCCACCCAGATAGCTCCTCATTCATTTGAGCTTGAGCTTCCTTGTCAAGCTCCTCATAACGTGTTAGATCACGCCTCACAGTTCTCAAGAAGATGACCAGGACTATACCAGCAAGGAAAGTGATCACCATCATAGAATTCATGATTGAGAACCAATGGACCTTTGAACCTTCCATTTTCAGATAAGCATCCCATCTCGAAGGCCATTTGATATCGCTCTCCTGGAATGTAACCTCGTAGGTGAAAACAATCGGTTCGTTCTCCTTGATCGGGAGGGCTACCGTTGTAGGATCACACTTGATCGGAGACTTGTATTTGCCATACATCTTCACATCCTTCAAGGACTTAGCATTGTGGACAAAGTTGCATGGAACAACCTCAAACCCTACAACCATATAACCTGGGGTCTCTGATCCCGGCGTTCCCCCAGTGGGAATCATCTCAGCTGCATCCCCAGTTCCCATCACACGAGCCATGTTGGCTTCCTCATACTTATGAACAAGAACAGTGAACTTCAAATGGTTGAAGAGGTAATAAGCATCCTGAACTTTGATCCCGAGAGGGTAGCCAGTCCACCTCACCATAAACGATTCCCTCTTAGTATACCTAATCGCAGGCAAATTATCAAGGATCAAATTCACCTGGTACATCTCGTCGATCCTCTTCTTCATAAGCTTGAAGTCGTCGGCCGACAAGGGCTTCGTTTGACAGAGGAAGATCTCGGTCTCGTTGGTGTACATCTTGAACTTGTAGGGCGAGTTCTCGATTCTATCGCCCATAAGAATCTCCCCGAGATTCTCAGCGCTATCCTTGACCCCCTCCGTGGGCCTGCAGAAGGGCAAGCTGTAGTAGCTGAATGGCATCTCGGTTTCAATTGAAGTGATGGAGTTCACTTTCACCGACAAAGTGTCGCCGATACCGTACTTGTGAGGGTAGCTTCCGGGGAGATAAAACCCATCTCCCGATTGCAGAATCAGCAAAAGGGCGAAACCCCAGATCTTCAAACGAACGAAAGAATCCATCTTTTCCTCGATTTCAATGCGATGCGCGTCAGATCTGGGAGACCCAGATCGTGAAACGACTGGAAGAATCACAACAGAGGGTAAGAAAAAAGAGCGGCGGCCTTGGCTCTAAGCAAGAGATCTAAGGTAATTGACAGAAAGGAATGATTCAATGCGCGGAATTAGAAGCAGGGGAAGGTGCGAACAAATGGAGATCAAGAGGATTAGAGAGTTAGTTACCTGAGGTGGGAGAGATTCAGTTGCGAAGCAGAGAGGAAGGTACTGAACAAGAAGAAAAAGGGGAAGCTCCCTGTTCAAGATTTCTGAAGAACCACCGGGGAGAGGGAGGTTTCTCGAGACATAGAAAGGGAGGAAAGAAGAAGGGAAACCGTTTTTTATAAAGACCGTCCTTTCTTTCTCTCGTTTTCTTTCCTTTCCCTCGCTCAGCGAGAAAGGAGAGTGCCGATGGATCTCTCTCTGCTTTGAATGGATTTACCAGAGTACCCATTCATTCCAATTAATTAATTTTCTATGTAAAAAAGAAGAAGAAAATTCCAAATTCACTACAAAAGAAAGCATTGTTGTGAGTTGTGACTATTGGTTCAATTGAGATCAAGCTAAGATGAGATTATGATGATTTGTCATAGTGGATAATGTAGTGTGATTATGTAATTGAGTGTTAAATCATTGCTCATTTCGTTGTGTCAATTTATATTAAGTCATTCATAATTAGAAAAAAAAATATGTAAGAAGATTCTGAAAGGAGTTGTGGACAAATACGGATGTATTTAATTGATATAGATTTTGTATCGTAATTAGGTTACGCCCAATAATACTATAGAATCACTGAACTTTTTATTGTGACGATAGTCAAACAAGAAACAAAATAAGAACATAGCACCAATGTTGACCAAACCAATGTACATGTGAAATCATATACATTTTGTATATTGTATGATTACTTGTTATTCTCGATTCTAAATTTATTATTTGTATTTGTTTCAGAATCCAAATCATTAACGATTATGTGCAATAATTTTACTATAGAAAATAGATCTGGGGTAGATTTTGATCACCAATCTTTTGAACTAATTGGTTTCTCTTTTTGTCCAATCATGTTCTCCCAAATTTGGTCTTATTGTTGGGACATAAACATAAGGTGAGATAGATAGATAGATAGATAGATAGATAGATAGATAGGGAAATAATCTCTTTTTTTTTAAAAAAATTGAAATACCAACTAATAAGGGCACAAATGTGATTTAGTTATCATATTTGGTTGGGACTCAAAGCTCCATATTACCTCCTCAGATTAGAAACATAAAGTTGACATTGAATCCAAATGTTGAGCTAGGCTAATAAAGATTGGGAATAATTGTTTCTAGGGATAGAGTAAGTTCCCAATTGGTCTCTACTTCCCTACCCTTGGAGGATTTGTGATTGTGAACCAAATTTTTTAGTTTTCTCCAATGCTCTAGTCGTATTTTGTCAATTTGCTGGAGGATTAAAGTTAAAAGACAAAAGATACTTGGGTTAGGAATGATGATAAATTAGGGTTAACTTGTTTATAATGTTCTTTGTACTCCCTCTCGAATCCTAGTTAACTGATTGGTGGCTCTCAACTAGAATTGCAAATGATCCGAGTCGAGTTTTACCCCAACTTGAGCTCGGCTCGTTAATAAACCAGTCGAGCTCAGCTCATTTATTAACGAGCCGAGTCGAGTCGAGCTCGAGTTAGCTTGTTTAATAAAATCTTAACTTTTATTTGGTACTTCATTTTGTATATCATGATACATATGATTTATTTTGTTAGCTAATCTCATATTATACTTTGTTGGTATCATATACCATTTAGTTAATAAATTTTAACTACTCCAAATCATATTATTTCATAGTATCGAAGCAATTTATGCTACATAATTTTTAAAAAAAATATAAAATAAGATATATTTGCTCACATACTCAACGTGTTAAACTTTATATATGACGAGATATATAATTTAACAGCCATATGAATTAAAATCATAAGATATAGATTAATTCGTCCATAAGTCGGTAATCGAGTTGGCTCTCTAGCCACATGTTGAGACATATCATGAGCTCTAAACGAGCCAGCTCACGAGTTTAGCTCAACAAGCCACCTAGTCGAGCTAGCCCGCGAGCTTCACGAGCTGAACAAAGCTTAGCTCATGTTCGGCTCGTTTATTAACGAGCCGAGTTTCGTACAAATTTTTCTCGAGTCGAACATCAAATCGCTCGCAAACAACTCGTCTCATTTGCAACTAGGGATGGCAAATTACCCACCCATGGGTAATTATACCCAAACCCAAGTAGACCCATTGATAATGGGTTGGGTATGGGTGAAGTGCATATGGATTTGGGAGTTTATAAATGGGTTTGGGTTTGGGGCTTCCATAATCTAAATGAGTATGGGTTGGATATGGATATCCATTTACTTGAGGGTGTTTTAACTACACAAGCAAAAATTGGACCTATTTGCAAAACTTGAAAAGTTTAGGTACCAAAATGTAAGACCAAAAAAATTTAGGTACCAAAATGTAATTTTCCATCGATATTTTGAGGACTTATATGCAAAAAAAATTAAATTTAGGTACTAAATATGCATGTCTATTAAGTTTGGGTACCAAACTGTAATTTGTATTTGGGCATAGGTACAAACCCAAATCCATTTGATATAAACCCAACTCAACCCAAAGTAAATGGGTATGGGTACAAACCCATCAAACTCTACCCATATCCATCTATTTGGATTTCATACCCAACCCAATTGGGTTGGATAGTAAGAAACCCATGAGTATGGGCAAAGTTGTCATCCCTATTTGCAACCCTAATCTCAACGTTCATACAACATCTGGAACAGTTTCTTGTTCCTTAATATGTTGTCGTAAAAGCAACACACTTATTATTACATAGATTATGACTTCGGAAAACTCCGAAAGAAAATGCAACCATCTTCCTCATTTACTCGCCACTAGTAAAACTTCTCTTCACTCTCTCCCTCAGAGGCTAAACTGCCAAGTAAATTTGGTATCTCACTCCAGGCCTATTCATGGTTGAATATGATCTTATATCGGTATATCTCAATCGATCCACATATTTTAATGGATAGATAGGTAATGGAAAGAAATTTATTGTCAAATAGAACAACACTATGCATCACAAAACCTCCAATAAAAGTAAACCCTACCATTGTTTCAATTTCGTTTGCCAACCCACATTTACAATTACTCAAAGGAAACGAGTCCCCAACGTAGCTTGCCCGGAGGAATTCCAGATCATGCACAGATACTTGCTAACAAACCCTCCTCCATAAGGAAAGATTGATATAATATACTCCAAACTGCATCTTTAAGCAATGAAAGTAACACTTTACAGACCCAGATGAAGAGATGTCACCCATAAACTAATGTTCTGCACACATTTACATACACAATATTATTGTGATTGATCAGTCTACAAGTCATCCCTTTCCACAGTCACATGAAACAAGCTGAAAGAGTGGACAGATCTCATCTTACCCTTTGCAGTTCCCAAAAGTCATGGCAGAAGAAAAAACATACAATTTATTCTGAGTTATTGAGTTAAATTGGTAACTCATCTAGTAGAGTAGATGATAAGCGTAAGAATAATTTACGATTAACTATCATTACCTAACCTTCTGCACCCAGTCCTCGAGCTCTCGGGCGCCTAACTGCAACCAAAGGGTTAACAATGCCCTGAGAATCTTTCCCCAGGCCACTGCCTTCAACAAACCCCATTCTAGCCATCATCTTTGATCCAAACCCTTTAGTATGCTTCTCGAAATCTCCAACGCTCTGCGGCTTAGGATGACGCTTCTCATGTGTTGCTGGACGTCTCTCATGTGTTGCTGGACGTCGGGCTCCACTTGGACGTTCGGGTTTGGTGGTGGTTTTGATGTCGGTGTCAGAGAATTGGACGCCGAGTCCTAGAGATTTCGGCCGTTGAATCACTTCAATTGGTGCAGCCATGCCTTGACGCTCTTTTCCCAGACCTTCTCCCTCTACATAACCCATTTTCGCCATCATCTTCGATCCAAACCCTTTGGTGTGCACCTCAAAAGCACCGACCTTTGCTGAGGTGGTGGTCGCCACGACCATCTCATCCATGGCTGTTGTGTCGTATGAGGCATCCTCCTCAGGTCGAATTACTCCACTTGAAATGAATGACACGGGTTGACTGGCATAAGCCACGTTTGTCCCTCCCTTTTTGGTTGACTTCCTAGATGATTTGGTTCGGCCTCCCTGAAGATCCCGAGTACTGTTGTTCTTGGTTCTTCTTCTGTCTGCACCAGCTGCTGCCTTACCTTCAGTGACGGAGAAATCTTCATCTTCGTTCACGGCACCTATCAGCTACACGGTCGAAAAGAGAAAAATCAAAAGACTTTACTTTTACTGCAACATCAGGGCTATGGGTATGAATACTGAAGACCCAAAAGTGTCGTGCAAAACTTGAACGATAGGTAGCAATTAGGTAGCAATCAAATGGTACACGGACCTTCTCAAGGCGGACTCTATCATTTGCTGATGGCATGGATGTATGCTGAGTTCTCATGACTGTGACAAAACTGGTAAACATAACAAGCTGATTTTAGCATCCAAATCATGAGCCACGTCAAACTGTGATTTCTTGCAATGGCATATCCAACTGCACACTGTACCTTTTCTTGCCAGAGCCCTGGGAACCACTGCGCAGGCGGTAAATTACTGCTAACCGTCTTACCTGTCAGCATATTGATGTTCATTGTTAGATTACGAAGGGGAAAAACCTCATTATGTTGAAGTGCCCCGCGGGACGATTAACAAAAAGCATACAAATCAAGCCACCAACTACTGAAGATCTTCATGACGTATGTCTTGCAATCAGTTTCCGTACTAATAGGGTATGAATATGCCGCTGAGCCAGATGAGGGAAAGACAAAACTAGTGTTGGATTCAGGCTGCAAGCCAAAGAATGAGGAACTATACCTGTGAACAATCCTTGGAATGCATAGGTGGAAAGGAAAATATATCCACCCGATTTGAAACTATCTGCTCCAGTTTCTACAAAAAAAAAAAAAAAAAAAAAAAAATCAAATTTTATCTTCCTTTCAAAGAGCCAAAATTCGAAAACAAGTTGAGAAATGAAATTATTACCGTATTAATTTTCTCCAAGTCAACCCCTCGGTTCAGCATCCTGTCCCGGCGTTTCACAGCAATCATTTCTTTACGATGTTTTTTCTTTTCACCTGAATTGTAAAATCATGATGATAAATCTTGAGGAACTAGTTTGAGTAAATCTATAAACCAAAATTAGGATTGTCCAAAATTCTTTCTTTCACTTTCTTATTGACTCTTGTTTCAACAGCAGCATATGGAAACTCGATTCATAACTTTAAGAAATGGTGTTACCTGGGTAGTTTCTGAAGCGTTTACTCTTCTGAGCTGCAGGCCAGGATTGAGGCAGTTGGGTAACATGCTTCTTCTTAGCGGACCTAGTCCTCGGATCTTTGACAAACATGATATCATCCAAGCCTGCAGACCAGAAGTCTCTACCACTAGTAGGAATCTTCTTCCTTGATTGTGGTGTCATCATACCATATACCATTGACGCTTCTTGGAGGGCAATCCCACCCAACTTTTCCACAGTGTCATCAAATCCT